CAGAGCGATTTGAACTGGCTACCTTCTGTTGTGAATTAAGCTCAAAGCCCCAAAGGCAACTCAATTCCAGTAATTTATCTTTTCAGCCTCTTCCAAACTCAATCCAGAGGGAAAAGTGACTAATCCTATTCAGTTGCTGCACTGAACTAGTGCCATCGATTAAAAAAGCTTGGGGCACAGGGAAAATGAATAATCTGGGTCAGTTTTCCTCTGCAAGTACTTTGCACAACTTGGCCAAGAAAATAAAAAAAAGTACCAAAACTAAGGAGACAGGAAGAGGAAGCACTGATAAGAGGGAAAGCTCACCCAGTAAAGTGCACACACTCTACAGGGAAGAAATAGAAGCAGATCAGCGGCATTTTGTCAAAATTCCCAAGGTGGGATGAGATTGATTAGAGGAAGTAGTTCTTCTATTTGGTGGGAAAAGAATCATGTACTTTACTCTCTTCCCTTTTTTCCGTGTCCATGCAGAGCTGAGAGGCCAAGCACGGAAGAAGGGCAAGCTGCAAAAACATTTCTGGGCAGAGAAGTCGGCTTCTTGGCTGCCTCTCTCTCCAGTGCTCCGGGTATGGCCTGGCTAGCACAGGGGAACAGCCCATTGCTGATCCTTACCGTGACCTAGGAGGTGAGTCATAAAATGGGAGTTGCCACTGTAACAGCTGCTCAAGCGCTGACATTAGTAGGTGTTTTCAGCAAAAGCGTTTTTGGGTAGGCTTCAAAGTAAATAACTGCTGCTGCTGGTTATCATATTATTACTTTGAACAGGGTTACCAAGGACTGTGTGCTACAGAAAAGGTTAATCTACAGATAACCCCCCACCAAGATTATTAACATAATATAGCAAAAGTGCCTGTGTGATTTTGTAGCAATATTTACATTTTCCCAGCCCCTTACTATAGAACTGGAGGGCTTTCATTATTAATATCAATTGTCTCACTTGATTTCACCAAAGGTTTCCCGTGACAACAGGAAAGGGCTAGAGTTTTTTGGTTTTGTTTTTTTTGGGTTTTTGGGGTTTTTTGGTGGTGAAAATGAAGATTTTCTGTTTTAAAAGAGTTATTCCATATAAGGAGTGAAATTTGTTAAGCCTGGTCACTTTGCTCTGTGTCCTCACATGTTTTGCTTTTCTCACCTGACACACAGCACCATACTGCCAGCCCCATCCTCCACAGCCCCCTGGGTCAATTAGGAAAATGCTGGCAGAGGGGCTCATTGGAATTTTCAGGAACTGAATTCTGACCTCGTTTTGTCAATGAGGGGCATGAAGTAATAAGATCCACTTTTATCTAAACGCCAGCTCTCATGACATTTATTATGTGTCTTCACGGCCATGGTGAATGGTGGAGACACCACAGCTGTATAGTTCCTGGAAGGTAGGACGACCATAGCTTCCCAAGCATCATTCCCATAGGTCAAACTGGGTGGGCTGTCTCTGCTAGCAAACTGTTTCTGGAAGAAAGTTCACTGAAGCCTAATGCATGGTACTACACGTAATAGAGACTGAAGAGCAGGGTTAGCTGGAAAAAAAAGCCCCAAAATCAAAGCCCACACACAAAGACCATTTAAGTGTGACAGTGCAGTGGAATTCCAGTGTCACTGGAGTGTACATATGTAGCACACTGCATGGCTCAAACAGGAGACTAGGCAGCAAGTTTGGGGAGTGTAGGCAGGTTAGGGATTGGCCCAGGGGAAATGAGGTGCTGCTGAGACGTGTGCACAAAATGGGTGAGGGAGGGGAAAGAGAGAGGATTAGGACAGAGAAGCAGCAGATGCAGAAGTCCAAGGAAGCAGAGGAGAGGAGGACAGAGGAAAAGACTGTCCCTGCAAGGATGTCCACTCTAGGGTTACCTCTGGCTCAAAGAATACAGGCTATAAATGGTGAACGGTCAGTGCCATGAGCAGATCCTTGTGTTTAGTCACTAAGTGTGAAGCTGCTGTCCCATGGAAGAAAGGCTCAGCATCCCCAGGCAGCCTGGCTGACAGCTGACCCCAAAAGAAGCCACGAGCACCCACTACCCGACCCCAGCCTGCAGGATTTCATCCCCACTCAAGCCTCTGCCCTAGCTAAGGGACAGGCTCTTCCCGGGGGGCAGCTTCACACAGCCGGTCCCACGGGAGCCCAAAGGCAGCAGCTGGGCACGGCGGCTGGCCGCGGGGAACGGGGAGGGCCATGTTGGCAGCCCGGGAACGGCAGCGCCAGACGGGAAGCCCGGGATTCAGGAGGAGCCAGCCTCGGCTGCCCCGCTCCCCCCCGCGGTCGCTGCGAAGCGGAGATGTCCAGCCTTGGGATGTCCCCTCGCCCCCGGCCCCCGCCGCTCCTGCGGCTTCGGTTTTGTAATTGACCCCTCGGGACTCCCCAGGTGTCATGTCGTAACAGCGCCCTATGGAGCCAGCAGTCCTGTGTGCCTGCGGATCACCTCGAGGTCCTCCCGTGGGAGAAAGGGTGACATACAAACTCCGATCCATTATCGTGGTGCGTGGTGGTGACAGTCCAGGGTATTTTCGGCCACTGAAGACACCAGTAACTCGATAGGCGATCCCTCGATAGGCTGTGGAAACTGGCGGCACCGAGCCAAATGTGCTCCGGGTGAGGTCGGTGGGAATGCTGGTCCCCATTGTCCCTTCACGAGTGGGTCCGGCACTTCCAAGAAGAGCCGCGGCTGCCACCGAGGCTGCTCCCCGCGCCTGGGCCGGGGGCGGGGGTCGCTCCAGCCAAATCACTTTTCTCCGTTGGGCGGACAGGGAGCGAGAGATGGACAGCAGAGGCTTCGGAGAAATTAGTAAATCGCCTCGCAATTACAACACGCTAGCGAATACAAGCAGCCTTTTCCCGCAGACGGGCTCCCCATCAGGGGACTGGGGGAAAAAAATCCCCAATACTTTTACCTTTGGAAAATTGAAAGGTCTGCTTGTGTATCTGTGTGCGTCTGTGCGTTAGCGCTGTCGCTGCCAAGCCCAGAATTTTGTTTTCTCTCCCAGCATGCGTTGATGACATCACGAAGTGCCCCTTCTTTGTGTGTCAGTGATGTCACCAAATGCAGTGTGGGGGACAATGGAATCCTGAACTCCGGGCGAGGGCGAGTGGGAAGCGGCTGCTCCTGCTGCTGGTTCAGGGCTGAGCCGGGGGAGGGAAGGGAGGACACAGCTGCTGCTTTAGGGCTGAAACAGGTGAGAGACGGGAAAGCTGCCGGGGATTCCTTTTGCCTGGGTTGGTGGGGGCGAGTGGGCTTTGGGCTAGGTTTTTTGGGGTTTTTTTTCCTCCTTTCTTTTTTTCCCTTATTGCTTTCAAACTGAGACAGGTGAGAAGTTGCTGCTGCTGCCGAAGGGACAAAGCAGGTGAGACAGGGGAGAAGCTTTGGGGTTGAAACAGTTGTGAGAAGAGGAGGAAAGCAAGCAGCTCCCGCGCCGAGCCTAATACCCCCCTCTGAGCTTTAAAAAAAGCAGCCCCGGGAGCTGCCCCTCTCCCAGCCACCTGCTTCCACCGTGTCCCCGCGGGGCTCTCGCACGGAAGCAGCAGCGGAGCCGGGGAGGGCGCCTGTCCCTCTCCCATCCGATACCCCTGCAGGTTACTTTTCAGAGGGTCTCCATTAAAAACTCACGTCCCCCTCCGTGTGCCCCTTTCTTCCCTGTCCGGGGGGAAGAGAAAGGGAGGGGGCCGTGGCTGCCGGGATCCCCCTCCATCCCCGGAGCTGGGGCTCCGTCCCCCGCCCCCGCCGCCCCCTGCTCCGCTCCGGGTGGCGCCCCGGCCCCGCCGCCCCCCAGCCCCGCTCGGCGGTGGGGGAGGCAGCCAGGGAAGCCATTGCCTGTTTAATAGTTGCTGTTGCAGCACTTCCGCTTCTCTCCCAGCGAGAGAGACACGAGTGGCCAGGCCCAGCCGCACCGAGGAGGAGCAGCCAGACACAAAGGGAGAGGTAGGGGGACGGGGCACCCCCCGCCGCCCTCCCCGGGGGCAGGGGCAAGGGGCAGGGCCGGCCGCGGCCCGGCGATGGGGCGGCAGCCGGCGGGGCAGGGGGGTCGCGCCCGGGGCTGTCAGGTACCGCTGTCCCCCGGCCCTGCGGGCCCGCGGCCGGGGCAGCTCGGCCGGGCCCCCTCTGGCTCTCGGCCGGCGGGGCAGGGGAGCTCCCCGGGGGCCCGTGGCCCTGGGAGGGAGGCGGCCGTGTGTCGCCACCCCCCCTCCCCCCGGGCCCGCGGCTGCCCCCCGAGCCCTTCCCCCGAACTCTCCCGGGGTGCCCTGCCAGCCCCCCCATCCCTCCCGACGGCTTCTCGCCCCTCTCGGGTGCGGACCTGCCCTCGGTAGCCCGCCGTGCTCGCCCTCCTCCCCCATGCCCTCGGGCTGCCCGCATGGACCCGGGCTGCCTCCCCTTGGCCCCCGCTGCCCCCCTCCGTGACACCGGCCTCCCCGGGCCCTCCACTCTCGCCCCTCGTAGGCCCTGGCCCTCCTTCCCCCCCGCGTCCCCCCCGCCGCAGACCCTGTGCTCCCTTCCCCCTCCGCTGGCACATGCCCCTCGGTGCAGTGGGCCTCGGTGGGTGCCACCAGTGCACCCCACTCCCTGCTTAGCCCTTCCCCTTGGTTTGCTCCCTTCCTGCCCGCCTCCCCTCGCGGCTTCCAACAGCCGATCCCACAGACAGGGGTTATCCAGCAGGCAGGGGTTTCCCCACCGCAGGTCACACATCTGCCAGGGTCTTCCCTGTGTTGCCAGAGATGCTCCACTTCCATTTTAGAACTGGCGACGGTCGGCCCCATCCCCTCCTGCCTCCCCCACGTGCCTCCCGGGAACCCAAGGGACCGGAGCTGTTCCATTTTTATCTCCTACACCCCTAGGCTCGATAGTGGTGGGTGGTGATGGCTCCTCTTGTGTGTGCAGTTTGGGGGAGATTAGAAAGAATTGCTTTGAGCTTCCCTGATCCTTGCAGTTGTCCTCGTTCCGGTCTCCTCTCATTCCGCACTTGCTTTCTGAGAGGAAGGTTTTAAAGTCCCTTTCCCCCTGCTCCTCTGTGTTGCTAGTGCAGGGGAAGCTGCTGCTCCTCCTGCTATGGCTGTAGGGCCTAGATAGGAGAGGGAGACACAAGGATCCTTTAAAAGGAGCATGACCCAAACACAGAGCGAGAATGTCGGCAGCCTTTCTCTGTGTGTGTTTGTGTTCACTGTTTGTTCCCCACGCCCCATGGTGTCTCCTCTCCAGGTTGGGGTGTGTGGTGGGGGGGTCGCTATGTCGGATGACGATTCGAGGGCCAGCACCAGCTCCTCCTCATCTTCATCCTCCAACCAACAGACAGAGAAAGAGACAAGCACGCCTAAGAAGAAGGAAAGCAAAGTCAGCATGAGTAAAAACTCTAAACTGCTATCTACCAGTGCCAAGAGGTGAGCCTTTAGTCAGTTTTCTCACTGATTTGTTGCATCTTCCCTTCTTCCAAAATTTTATTCTGCTCTGTTCCCCCGCTGCTCCCATTCCTCATCTCTAGACCGTGTGCTCAACCTTTCTACGTGAAGCTGCTATTGTCTCACTTTTTTCAGTGTCTCACTGCAGTGAGTGTCTGCCCAACTTCACTGCTTTCTGGTCCTTCTTCCTGCTTATTCCAAATATTTTCCTGTCTTTTCTTCTTCTGGGCTGGGTATTCTGACCCTCAATTATTCCTGTCTTTTCCTTTTTCCTTACTAGCATTTGTTATGGGAATGGTGTAGGATTGACATTTAGACCTTATTTTTTTCTCTGCTACTGGAAGCTATATAGTCCCAAGTAAGGCATTGCATTTCAGCATCCGTTTCCCTCTCTTGTGGGTTGGAGTCTAGAGTGTCTTTTTTTGTCCTTTCCAGGACTGATTTGGAGATTAATTAATGTTTGTGAAGTTTTGAGTTTGCTTGCTTTGGAGGAGTGCACTCCAGTGCAAAGGGTTTAATATAGCCCCAGATCTTTACCAACAAATACATTACTGTTATTTTTGTCTGCTCATCACTTATATTGAATTTTCTGTGTATGGTTGGATACTGACAGAAATAAATAATCCACAGCAGGCCCAATTGCGGACATTCTACTCTAAAATAGTCTTTGCTCACAGCACAGAGTAGGTTTGGGGTTTTTTTGATAATAAAGTAATTTTTATTCCAGAATAATGTGTAGAGAGAGACACCTGTGTTGAATAGTAATTCCAGAGCAGCTATGTCAGTCAGTTTTGTTCACTTGGACAGACTCTTGGAGCTGCTTATCTTAAAAAAAATTTTTAAATTGTTACCCTTTCTTATTTGTTCTGTGTGTCACCTGAATTCAGCACCATCCTGCTCCAGGGAGCTAAGCTGACAAATGAAGGTTTTCAAGCAAACTTGCAGTACTTCAGTAGGAATAATAAACCATCTCACTGAACAGCTTTGCCAAGCAGCAGAGAGGTTGTGTCAGTAGGTGTCTAAAGTGACTGGAGTTTTATGCAAATGCCCTGTTGTAGCAACTAAGTTCTCTGTGGCTTTGTGGAATTTAGGCAGTTTGGTTATTCCAGATCCCCACTCAGCAGTTTCCATGGTAAACTGACATAGATAGTGGCAAGCAGTGTTTACGTATTGTGCCCTTCAGTCTTTTAAGGAGAAGACTTTAAACTGCCTCCTGTGGAAAGGCTGTGGTTCTTGTGTGTGACAAGTGGCAGGAGATGCTGGCTGAGCTTAAAGGAGAAGGGAGACAGGCTGAATGCTGGGTGGGGAAATCTGGAAGGGAAGCCTGAGTGACAGTAATGGGACTCCAGGGAAGAGGATGATAGCTGTTTGGGCGTTTTGTGGCAAAAGCAGCGTAAGCCCAGAATAGTCTGGGCCGGGAGGACAGGGTGTTGGCTGAGCACAGTGGAGAGATGGAGCGTCTGGAGTCCTAGGGAGGGGACATGGGGGTGTTGTGTGCCTCTCCAGGGTGAAGAGAAGAGAGAATTGAAGGTGGTAAGAATGTGCAGGAGCCTCAGAAATAGATATTCACCTTCCTTAAAGTGTCCTTGAGAATGGCGCAGTTATTGACTCCCTCAGGGCTGTGGTTTTTTTTTTTTCTCGGGATGGTGATGAGAAGCTGGGGGAGAGAGGAGGGAGCCAATCTGGCAATGACTGTTTCTCTCAATCCCATAAGACAAAATTCCTTTTCAGACTGCAGTTTCCTTTTGGTGCATTACATTTGCAGAGGTTTCCCCTCATTTACAGGCTGGTTGGCAGAGCAAAGCGGACAGTCTTTTCCACTGTGTGGTTGGCATCTTTGTGGGAGCACAGAGCAGTGCACCTGTCTGGGTTCAGTGTACGATGCCTGTCTGCTTTTCTGCCTGTCTCTTTAACAGGGCAGGGCGCCTGTCCTGCCTAGGGGGTTTGGACTGGTGGGAGGCTGCAGCTAAGAGTGCCTCTCTCTTATGTACTGTGGCAGGCACACTGTGACAGTATGTCTGCAAGGAGAACTGCTATCCCACACAGTGACTTACCTTTGTTCCTTCTTGCTTTATTGCCACAGGATTCAGAAGGAATTGGCTGACATCACCTTAGATCCACCTCCCAACTGCAGGTTGGTGTCGATTCCTTACCTGAGGAGGGTGGGGGAAGGCGAGGGGCTGAAGTGTGCCAGTCAGTTGTAATTGCCCTCAGAGGCTTTGGATGGAGCAGAGGAATGGCTGTTTAGGTGGCCAACAGCCCTTTTGTGAACGCTTTCATGACTTTAAATAGTTTCCAGGTGCAGGTACCTCCAGAGACTGTATGTGTTTTGACCAGTTTTCTGTTTGTTTTGGGGGTTATTTCGTTTTTTTAACAATTGCCTTTCAATATGTTATACCGTTTTGTGTGTATGTTTCAGAAACTGGTCTATAAAGAAGAGTGTGAAAACTTTGTCCTTGTTTGTTTTTGGTTTTAGTTTATAAATCTAATGCTTGACTGCACTAATCTTATATAAATAAGAGTCCTGCCAAGGAAGCAGAGAATGCTCTGAGGTTTTTAGCTCAGAATTCTGTTGTGAACAGCAACTGACAGTGGAAGACAAGTGTGAATTCGCCACTCAGTGGGTGCCCCACTGGAACATGCCTCTTAGCTGATGAAACAGAAAGCAGGGATATTCTGTTACCCTTTAGAAAGCAGCTTATTTTAAAGTATGTTTTAGAAACTTGTATCGGTTTTTTTTAAACATCTAGCAGGTTTAATTTCATGGTGTCCCTGAACCTCTCTGCATTTGGAGAGGAGGCAGTAGTAACATCTTTGATTTACTTGCTCATTCAAGAGAAAAGAGGATTTCAGTCTGGTCTGTGTTTGCTGTAGTTGCCAACATATAACTCTGTTCCCATCTTCTTGCTGTAGCTGAGATTTGATGTCTTTTTGTTGTTGGTAATAGCAGAAATCAGAGAAAATTATGTTTATAAATAACTGTTTAAATTGGTCATTTTAGTATTGAGTTTCTACCCACAAACGTACATGAACCTTTTTATTGAAATTTTTTGCCACTGTTAGTCTGTGGGGAGGAATTAGCACAAGAATTAGCCTGACAAGTCCAGAGCCACCTTTCAATAGTAGTACCTAGGACCATAATTAATTAAAGGAGAGATTGAATGTGATGTGTGGCATCTAATCTAATACTAAGAAGATTTTTGTGCTGTTAGGATGATAACCAACAAGTTTTGAAATCTTTAGCTGTGACAATATTGTTTTAAGGACAGTAATGACTTGCCTGAATATTACAAGATTTCCAGTTCTTGGGCTGGCAATGTCTGTCCTGTGTGCATCCCAGCTCTGTGTCAGGATGAGGTCCACATGCTTTTCTCTCCTCCTCCCACTTTAACCTGATTTTTGTGGGAAAGAAACACAAAAGCACATCTCAGGCCCTGTAACTTACCCTCTAAATAGCTGAGTCTGGATGGTCAAGGTGCTGGGACTTCAGACTGAACTTTGCAAGTCTATCCAAAAGCTGTGATAGTATATGAGTACGTTAGATTGCGTGTTTCTTATGAAGGTTCATGTAAATTATATTATAACCCTAATTTGTCCTTGTTTCAATTGGATTCATTCGCAGGCAAGGATGAACTAGTAGATTATTTGTCAAAATGCAGTATAGTTTTGGTTTTTCTTTTTTAATTACATAGACCATTGAGGTTAATGTGCTTTAAGGCCCACAGAGTAAGTTCCTGTTATTTCAGCCTTTACAAATATTTCTAATGATAAAAATTAGTTTGTAGTACAAGTAGTGATGATTAATCTTCATCCGTAGTGGAGTTACAAGTATTCTGCATTCCTTTTGACTTTCAGATGAGTGACAGTGAAGGCTGGCAACTCCTGCAAGTAATGCATGCAATTGGTGTAGTTGTTACTGCCTTTTAATATGTTGATAAGTAGGAAAACGTGAGTGGAAGGGTTTGCTCTGTGTGTGTGTGTGACCAAAGGAGTTTTGGTATTGCTCATCTTGGGGTGAAGTCATCCTAATTCTGTAAATACGGTGCTGAGAGCCAAGAAGAGCAGCCCTGCTTATAGCTGACAAGGCTCCAGTTGTGCAGTCGAGCACTGGGAGTTTGCCCCTGTAGTTGGTTTGTAAAAAGACAGACAGGTGCTGATTGCCACAATAGAGAGATGAGTTTCAGCTCTTGCAGTTATGGGGAAAGTTCTCTTGTGAAAAAAATAAAAGAAATAGAAATAGTCAGTTTATGACTGTGAGGAGATTAAGCAAATGAGAGGCTCTGGTTGCTGCATGGTGTTTAAGGTTGCCAAATTTTTTTCTTGGGAAGCCTACTAACAGTGGCACTGCATTCCTATATGTTTCTTCCTTTCGTATAAGCATTGCTGGCTGGCATGCTGTGAAGGAGGTATTAAGTACATAGTTCGAGAACTTAGTTTCAATTTCCTGCCTTTATGACTTTGCTTATTCTAACCTTTCCTCTGACCTCCTGCCCCTCATATCTCTGCTGCCTTTGTGCCTCTAAAGACTTTTTTCAGATGTCACTGGACGAGGGGCCAGTCTTCTCCTTTTAAGCATCTCTCTCTCTCTCCTGCAAGTTTAATCTTAGAACTTATATATTCAGGGCATTATGTATGATGCCACGTACTACCTGTTGTACTGTCAGTTTTAGGGGTTGCCTAAGTCACACTTGAAAATGTTTGTCTGAAACTGTATCCTGTGTTATGTAGGAAACATCATAATCTTGTCTCTTTTTCTGGACATCTGTTCTTACCCCCCCCAACATCATGTTGGTGTTTTCCCCTGTTCTATGCCTCGTGTTTGATATAAGTTAATGGTTGGCTGTGCTTTAATTTTTGGCCTCGCTGTAAAATACTTTTCTTCTTTCAGTCTTACTGCAGTAGTGGGAGTTCAAGATATTTAACACATCCTAGAGCAGCTCTGCATATTGAAAGACAAAGGTTCAGGTTGTGAATGATTTTTAGTAAGAACTGTTTTACCATATCTTACATGAGGTATTTTTCTTCTTATAAAATATGACATACAAGATGCAATTACAAATAATGACAACCATTTGACTTTTCAAACAAAATAGCTTAAAAATAAATGTTTCATTTTTATTTTTGTAGCTTTCAGTGACTGTATTTTCATGTATTTAACCCACAGATCATCTGTTTAAAAAACAAAAATCAAAAAACCCAAACTCCAAGCACACTCAACACTCTGTGATTGAGCAGCTGTGTGGTTTTTATGCATATGTGGGTAATATGAGGGGAAGTTTATTCCAGAACTTCCTCTCCTCAATACTTTCCTTGCTTCTATTTTTTCCATAGCTTGCCTGCGTCCCCCAAAAGCTTACCTGGTCTTATGTCTCATCTGCTGGTTCATTTCTCATAGTCCCTTTGCACTTGTCTCCTTCCTCAGGCTGTGATTTTGATTTTTCACAGGCTAGTGCAGTTACTTGTGTAGAGGTGCAGAGTATGTGCATGAAAACAGTCTCTGTTTGGCCTGCATTCAAAAAGTAGATTTTTGGAATTGAAAACATTTTCTAAAAAGATGTATTTAATAACATGTCGCAAATTTGTGGGTTCCTGCTGGGAGCAATGCTGTCTCGTAAGTGTCCTAATGTAATCTCTGTTTGGCAGCTACTTCTGAATGGATTTTAGTCCTCTTCATAATTTTCAGTAGGCCTGTGCTCTGGAGGTCTTTAATTTCTGCAAGATGATTTGACTTCCGATATTAATACTGAATTATGAAAGTTAAGTATGACTTTCAAGTTCAAAAGGTGGTTAGTGGTTAATATGAGCTGGAGAATGATTGTTTGGACCTAAAGTGTTTTAAATCTTTTAAGGGTGTATCTGGTGATCTCTTCTTCAAAAAAGTCTTTGTTTTATATCAGAGAGTTTAACTTCTGGTTTAGAACTCAAAGCAGGTAACTAGGAGCTTTTTACTTTTGGTCGTCTGTATATGCTGGTGACAGAGGAAGTGCCATTGCTTTGAGTCTGCAGATATCAAAATATGGTTCCATCTTGCTATGTAGGCAGTCCTGACTTTTGTTTGCTGGTAACACTTATGAGTTTTGTGCAAAAGCTTTCCTTCCATCTCTGTGATGAAGTGTCCAAAGCTTTAAGAGAAGTTAATTAAAGCTTAAAGTACTCTTTATTTGCTTTGTGTCCTTTATTCAACCTCTGTATCTAAGCATCTGCTGATGGTAGATCTGCTTGTTGATGTGAGGTTATGGAGTAAGTGCTTTTCCCCATTTTTAGGGGTGGGGAGTTACCACACACAAAAAACAAGTAACTTGTCCAAGGTCATGCAGGAAGTCTCTGGCAAAGTGGAGAAATGAATGTAAGTCTCTTTTGTTTCAAGCTAACTTGCAGCTGAGCTGTTCTGCTGGAACTGTGTGCATCAGTTGCATTATGAGAAGGGCTTTGAATTTGTGCTTTATTGGGTGTCTGGTATTGACTGTATGTAAGCATGGTAATATAATGTTATTTTTCCCATCTGTGTAGAGGGACCAAAATGGATATTAATTAGAATTAATGTTTTTTAATCTATCTTAGCCAAACTGAAAAAAGTTTGTCTGCACATGGCTCATTTAAGTCCATATAGGCAAGACCAGCTGTTATTTAAACAAAAATTATTTTCAAACCTTTGCTAAAGGAGGAGTTTGCCTGCAGGGCTTACCATTGCTTCAGAGTAAAATGCTATCACAAATTCATTATTTAAATAATAATAAAATACAGTTGTGTTTCTTGGCACCTTCATCCCAGTTTTTGTAAATTCGCAGAATAAGGACCAGATCTCCTTGAGAGTCTCGTGAAAGTTAGCTGTCAGCACTTAATAAATATGTGTCTCAGTAAAGATGGTGGGGAGAAGTGCTCTGTTATAATGTATGGAGTATTAATAGTTTTCAAAACTTTGCAATGTGGAATTAAGGTTTCTTGGCTTGAGAGAAGTCTGCATAAAATGTGTGGCTCAAAGGCAGTTTTGAATTCAACAGCTTCATATTATAATTAATATATTTCATCTGCATACCATGCAAGTCTGGCATTTGTCTTGCTTACATTTGTTTTTTATGGTGCTTGTAATTTTTTGCAAATGTATTTTTTCAATACTTTCAACTCCAGTAATGC